AGAATTAAAATTAAATTAATTCAACGAAAAAAATTTCCAAATTTCACAGATTTATGATGAATAAAATTGCAAGAAATTTCATTAATCCTCATTTTGCAGATATATTATAACTACGTGTAACACCTGCTACAGTATCTCTAAAAGTATGATAGAGTAAGCTTTGAAGTAAGGCGATTATAGAACAGATAATTGTAGATTGTGCTATTTTAAGGGCATATTAAATTCTATCTGAGGAATAATTTATCCTTCTACAATAAAGTAGTTATTTCGATGATAAGAATAGGATCATAAGTACGATGAAACAATTGATTCAACGATGCATAATTGAGCTGTTTCCCTTTTCCACTACATCAAATTATAACAATTTGACGCCTCCCATACCTCATTCCATTCTTTTTTCCTTCGATGACCTTCGACGATTTACATCGTTATTTTGAAATAATTTCAGTATTTTCTTAAGGCTATCATTAATAATCAAAAATCAAAAATTAGGTTAAGATTTTTTCGTAGACTTAAAGAATTAATTATACAAATGAATAATTAGAAATTATCTATACATTAATTCTCTAATTAATTAAAATATCGAAATAATTTATTTTATTTGTATTTTAAATTATTTATTAAATTTCTGTATAATTTTCTCTTGTTTAATATATTTATAAAAAGTAATAAAAAATATGAGAAAAATTTAAATTTCCAAAATTTCCTCATTCAAATTATAATCTGCCATGATTTTCAATGGTTCATCTTTTTTTCATTAGATGCAAATAAAATTGTGGTAAAAATGTAGTACGAGCCATATCGTACCATTCATAATTCTCCTTTTTTTGAAATGCACATTTCGGCTATTAAATAAACGAACATTTTCATGATGGAAACTGCCTGGTGCTATAACATCGATCAAAATATTTCGAATCTATTAAAAAATTTATTAACTAAAGAATAAATTTCAATAAAGAGCAATAAATAAATTCGGCTTTTTCTATTTGAAAAAGATGCTTTCTACTAAAATGGCTTATTTGAAAGAGTTTTAAAATTAAAAAATAAAATTTAATTTTAACAACCAAAAATTCATTCTAATAAAAATTTTTCAAATATCATAAAATGGTAAAACAAAAATTCAATCCGTCATAAATTCATTATATAGCATTAATTAATCTATTATATAATTAAAGACAAATTTAGCATTTTTTCTATATGATAAATTTTGCTGGAAGAATTTTGTTTCAAATGTGATATAATTTTAAAATTAAGAAATTTATTTTTTGACCAAATTTAAATTTAATGATATTTTGCTTTTCAGTTAGCTCAAATATTTACCATACCCATATAACAACATAGTAGAATAATGATGAATTGAAGAGAAAGAGATTAGTCATTAATTTTAAATGCACATAAATATAATTTAACTAAAATGAACTCTAGTTCAGGTAATTTAACTAAAATGAACTCTAGTTCAGGTAATTTAACTAAAATGAACTCCAGTTCAAGTGATTTAACTACAATAAACCCTAGTTCAGGTAATTTAACTAAAATGAACTCTAGTTCAGGTAATTTAACTAAAATGAACTCTAGTTCAGGTAATTTAACTAAAATGAACTCTAGTTCAAGTCTATAATATATTTCAATTATAAAAGTAAGAGGAAAAAAGTTTTGAAAAATTAAAAGAATTAAAATTTGCTATGTAAAGCTCTGATTTAATAAATTTTCATTAAATGCTAATATTTGTCCGTTAAAATTTGTTTTTTAACTTACGAAATTTTCATCTCTCTCACTCTCCCCTTTTTTCAAACTTTCTTCAAAAAAAAATTTTTTAAATTTTTTTAAAATTGTTCTTTTGCTAATCAACAATGAAAAAAGAAAGGAAAAAATTGTTGCAATTTTATGCAAATTTAATTTCGTTATTTTATTTTAAATTTCGTATCGTAGTAATGAATGACTAACGGATATGCATATCGGGGTTTTTTTTTTGTTGTTTAATTTTAGTTGGTTAGTAAAATATAATTTCTTTGTTTGTACACAATTAAAAATGACCAAATGTCCGCTGGTTAGTGAATTTCGAAATATTTAATTGCCATCTTCTACCATTAATATCATCGTCATCGTTCAATAACCATTTCAGTTTTTGCATCATTGATGTACTACTACAACTAATATGCCCTTTTCATCGAACTGTTGATATGGACTATTTGATGAATGAATGAAATTGGTTTTATTTCTTTCTTTGCTAAAAAAAAAAACGATTTAATTGATAAATGTGATAAGTTATTTATTATCGAAAAAAATTCTTATCATAATGATATCATTATATCTGATAAGTTAATTTTGCTAACAGAAAAATTTTCATATTGATCGCATCATCATATCTGATAATTTGATTACCGTTGGAAAGATTTTCATAATAATGATATATCGTAATATTTGATAAATTATTCACTGTTGTAAAAATTTTCATTATAATGATATTATCATATCTGATAAGTTAATTTTGCTATTAGAAAAATTCATAATAATGGCATCATCATATCTGATAAGTTGATTACTGTTGGAAAAGTTTTCATGATAATGATATCATATCTGGTAAGTTGATTGCTGTTGGGAAAAATTACATAATAATGATATATCATCATATCTGATAAGGTAATCAATGTCGAAAAAACTCTTATAATGATAATATCATCAAAAAGTGGTATCTTTGATTTGAAAATTTTTAGTTTATTTATGATAGAGATTATTAATTGAAAGGAATGAAATTAGTGTAAAAGAAAAAACACATTTTCATTAAATATTTCACAATGATAATAATTATTTTCTAAATATTTAAAAAATAATATAATTCATTTGAAGTAAGCTAAAAAAAGAAGAAAATTAGTCATTAATTAATAATTTTAGTTAGTATACTTTCAATAATTTAAGAAATAGCTCAAATTACATGAGGTTAAAGAGAAGCAAAATGATTAATTTTAATCTCAGGTAAGCTAAAAATGATCAATCAATTAATTATCGCTATCTTTTTTTATTATTGTTTAGCGTGAGAGAATTCATTCTTTATCGGAAAAGAAATCCCATTCAATAGAAGAGTGGACAGTTAATTGTTAATTGGTAGACAGATGGATAGGGACAACAGAGGACAGAGCTTTCTCAGATACCGACTGACCGTTTCAAATGATTTTATGTTCCTATTATTTCAATAATTAGATGAATTACCTGGGAGTATTGCAATGAACAGATGAAATGAGAGAAGCATTATTTTCTTTATTGAAATAGTTTAAAGCTTTCGAATTAGTATCATTATTGTTTTAGGGCAACAAATAGCATCAAAGCTTACTTTCCATATAAGTACCAAGAGTTCTCATTGCATGAATATCAAGTTACAAAATATTGATGAATGGTAATTAATTATTCTAATTATTTTTAATCAACATATTTGTTGATGAAAAGATATTTCGATTAGGATTAAATAGTTTAAAAATTAATTTCAGGAAATCTGATTTCATTCCAAAAGTAATTGTTAATTACAGAATATGAGAACAAAATATTCCTTATCTTTTCCCTCATTTCAATTCCTTAATTTCTTATCAATAATAGACTATTTGGAGGGGACAGAAAATGAAGAATGAAATGATTTAGCTATTATCACTCCAAAGAAAAGAATATTGATAAATAGAAGTAAGAAATGATTGGAATTTCTTTAACAATATTTATAATTTTGTTGCTCAAATTTGATCCGATGTTAATGTAACGCTTTACCGCTTCAATTCGATAAATCACCAAAGAAATAAGTTTATTTTATATTCGATAAATAGAATTAGTTAAAGAAATGATAAAGTAAAATTAATAGCATTGTAATAAATGTTCGAGATCGAAGATTATGAATAATGCAGACTAATAGCGAACAATCTTATCGTAATAATAAAATGTCATCCAACCATCAAAGCCCTCATTTTCTCGAAGTATGAGACAAGTAGATTTGCATACCGTAGTATGGCCAGCACCATATTATATTTACGAGCGTGAAATTGCGCGAAAAAACGTGCCCACTCTCATCCTGACATGTATTTCGTGATGTCTTCGTTAGTTTCGCGTGGTTCACATAAGGGATGTGGGTGTTAAATTGATTCTCGAAATTACTCCACCGCGATTTCCTTTTTCCTCAATGTCAACTTCACAGTGTAATATTCGTAGGGGAAATTTTAAAATTTTGGGAAATATAAAAAGTATTTCAAAATAGTGTAAATTGATAGTTAGAATTAAAATCTTTGGAATTAAAAGATTTTAATTTTTGATAATGAATGAAAAATTGCATTGTTTACTAATAGTTCCTATTTCTACAAATTACAAAAGAGAATAAGAAATGTTGAAGTAATTCAATTTTGATTCTATTCTATGCTATATTATGCTATTTCGTACTACAATATATTGTATTTCGTAAATTTCTTTCTATATTCTGTACCAAATTATGTTATAGGAAAAGTATTGCTGTACTTTTTATGTTATATTGTTGTCAAATATACTTAATTTTCCTATTCTATGCTTTGCATTAATCAAAGAGTATTTTTTGAGTTAATATAAGTTGAGTATTGCTATTATGAGCTTTGAAATCACATTTCAAAATTCACTTTCAATTGTCTTTTCCTAGATATAGTAAATGCTGACAATTGAAAGAAAAAAATGTAGCTTATCGATGACTAATGAATTTGTAGCTGTGAGTTTATGAAACAGTATTTTAGTTGATAATTAGAAATGATTTGATCCTTAACAAAGATGCCGTTCATAAGGAAACAAACGTACGCATAAATATATTTATAATAGTAATGAGTTATATGTAATACATGCAATACTGCACGCAAGAACATACATGTAGATGGTGAATTAAACAAGAAAGTTATATATTAACCATGTGGGAATCTTATTTACTTAAAATTCCATTGTTTTTCTTTTCTTCTCAAACATTTTTTATTTATGGCATTATCGTTGCTGTATTTCTAATAATTTTCCAGATGCATTACACCGGTCGTATTTTTGACTATACTCGTTTGGGCTGCTCGCATGTCCTGGCAATTTATCCCTGTAATAATGCTATTTCGTTTGCTGATCATGCAGAATGCTGCATTCAGGCAAGGCGCTATCGGTCATTTTGTTTTTGGTTCAACGTGGTTTTTGCAAAAGAAAGGCCTTGTAAACTCCATAGTTAGCTCTGTTTCTCATTTGATTTAAAAACAAAAGAGAAGAATAAAGGAGGTATTCAAAGTTGTGTGTCGCGGTTCTTTTTAAAAATTTAGTTCGTATTTTTGTTGTAAGCGTTATTTCATAAAATGAGTTTCACTCGTTGAACTTAGATTTTAGGGTTGCATAAGAATGGAACAGGGTAATTGGATGGAAGAAGAAGATGAGTCAATTATTCGAAAAAGTTTTTTCCTCGGTATAGGCTTTGGAAACAATGGAATTAAACCTAAGAGAATCATCAGCAAGTTAAGTGCAGCGAGTTTCAAAGGTGATACGAATTTTATTTAGTTTTTTATTAATCTACAAATCTAATTTCATTTTTATTTTTTTAAAAATATTTTTCGTAATTAATTAATCCTACAGAAGGTTGGGAAATTGACGTAATGATTTTGTTTTCTCTATTTCCATCTCAGTGATGCTTACCCTTTCGTTTCTCTTACTGGAGCATAATAAACAGTATTTCCAACCGAGTCTTTGTTTTACTATTAATTTTTGAACATTTCTTTGTAGAAAAACAAGTAGAGTGGAACAGCCGAATGATTGCTAAGCAGCTCCGACGTTTGGCGGATAATTTCGAAGCTGAGTTTCAAAACGTTTATGAAACCACTCACCCGCATCGCGATAAAAATGTCTCCGTGCATGTAAGTTATCTTTTAATTGACTTCTTAATTACGAAGAATTCAATATTACAGTATCAATTGTCAATTTTTATGTAATTTGATGTGATGAATTTTTTAATTATCAGTAAACCATATATAATTTTAGCAAATATGGAAATTTTTTTGTTTATCTATTATTATGAGTCAGGACTCGTTTAAATAACTAACACTAATCTGCCGAACTTTCATTGCAGTGCTCCAGCATAATTAAGTACATTAGCAACATGGTCAATGGACGACAATTTTTTAATTAATCACGCGAAATGAGCTTTGAGAATTATACCAACAGGGCAAAATACCATTTTGCTATGATTTTACTTTTTATTATCATAATCACGTTTTCTTAAAATTTTTGCATTTGTTTTAATTACTTCTCTATCTTCGTCAATCTTTGTTCTGATGAGCATGGACTACTACTTGCTGCGAATTTCATTTTCGTTTCCTTAGGCATTAATATCTTAGGATTTGTTATATTCATCTGTTCTTAAATGTTAAGTATTTGTATTGAGTTTTTTCAAAACTTTTTATCCCCATCATAGAAATTTTTTGACTGTTGCAGTTGTCTGTTTTGTTTTTACTGTACTGATATGACCGTAATTATACATTTATTCCCATACTGATTTCATGTTTTATTAATTGTTATGATATGGTATAGCATTTTCGGATGTTGTTTACTTTATTTCATTTGTTTATTCATTTATTCTACTGTTTTGTATATCAGTATCTAACCGCGGGTGCCTGTACTCATCAGATGCTTCCATCTGCTTGAGTTTTGATCCACTTCCTTTATCTCCTCATGAAGATTAGCACTTTAGATATTCCAAGATAATTTGTAGCAAAAGGTGAGGATATTTACATTTTAATAAAAACACTGAAAATTTTTATTCATTTCCTGTGAGACATGTGTTTTTTTCAGTTACTTGCCAGTCTATTTGTTGTTCCTTTCCCTATGTTTGTTTATTGCTAATTTATGTGTATATTTTTTTGAGCTTAGCACATTTTTTAAGATAATAGTGGTAATGTATAATGGTTTAAGGAAAGGAAGAATGCATTCTGTGAATAGGTTGTAATTGCTGTTTAATAATACAGATAATGTGAATTCATTGTTTTAATGTTATGAGTGATGTCATCAATACATTAGCAACAGAGATGTATCTCGTTGCATCTTCATATCTTCTTTTCTTTTATCTTAATTTTTAAATAAATGATTTTCTTTACCCTTTCCACATCCATTACGAAAATTTTTCAGTGTACAAGGAAATGGACATATCAACAATTTAAAGTCATATTTGGATTTTGTCACGATAGCGGATGATTCATCCATTCTATTTTCTGTTCCAAAAGAATAAACAAATAGAAGCAATTTTTTCATATTCGACGTCTGGCAGCAGACAAATTCACTGATGAATAAAATGGATAAATGACATCAATTGGATGGATAGATTGTGACGACAGTTGTGACAACTGAATATTGATAATTTTAAATGAATGGTTGTTACCAATTTTTAGTTATTTTAAAGGATGCACAAAGAAACGTATTTTAATAAGAAAAAATTGGTTGATGTCTCTTAAGAGAATTTAGAAAAATAAAACTGTATAAAGATGATAGAAAATGATAGAGATAAAAGAAATAAGAGAGACTATGCTTTTTTTCGAATTAATGTAACAATTAGTTACTGAATGAAAATGAATGGAAATGATTTACCTACAATTTCTTGGATTAAAATTTAAACAGAAAGCCATAATAGAAATTGTAATAGTTTATTTAAATCATAATTAAAATTGTAATAGATATAAATTAAAATTTAAGGATGTGATCATATTTCAAATAACAATATTTCTCCTCCATTAATCTAAGTGCTTTTTCATTAGATTAGCAATTTAGCCGTAAGCTGATCTTACATAGCACAAGCTGTTTCCATCTTTATTAAAACACTTCTAATAAACACCGATAGATCAAATTTATTTGAACATATGCTTAATAGCAACAAATATACCATATTTCTAAGCAACAGTTAATATTTGTATTAAACTGTTAGTTCAATAATGTATTGATTGTAAGTTTTCGCATATTAATTTGACCATCCGCTAAGAAGGTCATTTGGATTTGGACATTGAAAGACGGAAAAATGAAAAGGAATACTGAATTACTATAATTTAATACGATGAAAAGGCAAATAGAATTCAATCATTGCTTTGTTTGGAATGAATTATTTTGATCATACTTACAACAATGATCACTAGCCATCTATCACCGGAACAATTAATACTTCATTGTAATAAAAGTAAATAATACGAGATATAGAGCTCAATTAACAATAATATTTTAAATTATTCATTCTCTTAGCGGATTACTTCAAAAAAAAAGGAAACCTTACTTTATCATTGCTTAAAACAAACTATAGCAGATGTTTGTAATGAGATTAATAAGCGTAAAAAGATGAACGTTTGATTGTATTTATTTCCTTTTTTTTAATTATCAAAATTGGGATCTTTTTAAATTTTAAAATAATAAATTAATTGATGAAATTTTAACTTGATCAAATTATTGATGAAAATTATTGAATGTTTTATTTAGAAAAATAATATTTTTTTTTTTGCATATGCTAATTATTTCTATTCTGCAAAATGAGAGAGAAAAAATTTTTAACCTTTAATTAATTAACAAATTAACTTTGTTTTAAAATTAACTATGAAAAAGAAGAATGAAACAATAGGGCTATAATAATTAATAATAATTTATCGTATGATATTATCATATTGTATTTCAAGAAGCGAATTTTATCATCTTCTAATTATTGTAGCAACCACAAATCCTACTAATAATTCATTTTTCATTTTTAAATTATTTGTAAATTTTATTCTTTCATTCATTTTCATTTCAAACTTTTTCTCTGAACAATTATTTGTGAAAGATTCTGAACTTCAATCAGATTATCTTCTCACAAGTAATTCAAATTTCCTAAACAGTAAGTAAACAAGTAAACATATTCCTTAATCACTTTCAGATATTCTTATCATGAAAAGAAATGATAAGTAAAGTATGCATTTAAATATTAGTGCAAATCAAATGAAACAAATGAAATGTCTAAAAAATCAATAAATCAAATTGAAATTTAATTTGAATTATTGTTATAAATTAATTTTACATTATTTAAAAAAGAATTAAAACAGTTCAAAGATAATTATTAATGTTTTACATAATTTCAATTTACAAACTTCTCACAATCGCAATTTAAAATCCATTCCATTAAATTCAAAAATAATAAATCTTTTTTTATTTATATTTTATAATTTAGAAATTATGATTTCTTACCTAATAAATTTCATTTACCGTTTGTCAATAATATATATCAAATAATTAAATTAGAATGAAAATAACAAAATGATAGAGAATAATATATACGTATATTGTATAACAAAAACACAAACACGTAACAGATCACGTAAGGTCACGTTACGTAAAACATTATTAATTAATAGAAGAATAAAATTTTTTTTATATTTTGCAATTTAGAATTTATCAATTCTAGTACTTAAAAAATTTCATTTTGCCAATAATATCTATATGTATATTGCATAATAAAAGCAACAAAACACGTTACCAATCACGTAAAGTCACGTTATATAATATATTATTAATTAATAAAAACAATGAAATTAAATTAAATAAGACATTTTTATCTTTCTTTTCCTGACAGATTATTTTTAATTTGCTTCACAAAGAAAAAAATTATTTCTTCAATGATAACCAACAAAAGAAATTATTTAATCTTCCCATATAAATAATTGCATTAATAATTACATATCAGTATGTATCTGTGTATGTGTCCGTCTGTCTGCGTCTGTCAATATATATGTGTCTGTGTGTGTCTATCTATATAAATATATATGTGTATATTATATATTAATTACATATCAGTGTTTGTTTGTATATGTGTGTGTGTGTGTCTGTATGCGTCTGTCCATATAAATATATATCTCTGTGTATATGATATATTTATATTTGGTTGATTATAATGATAAAATGAAAAGGATGAATGAATGGGTCATTAGTGGTCATTCGTTTTGTTGTAACATACAAGTATCAACAATAAAAAGAAGTTGAAAATTACGAACACAAAGGATAGTGTGAAGTGATTATCTGTCAAAAAAATTAATGACAGCTTTTCGGAGCGCACATTAAAATAAATAACTGTTTTTTTCCATTATTTTTTTCTAATGATCGTAATCAGCTTACGATTACGACTTTTCTTTTAGTTAATTCTTTCTAAATATCTTTTTGGATTGTAGAAATTTATTTGATTTAATTTAGTTCGAAATTTTTCATTATCTAATAAACAAAAACTTTTTAATAAATTTGAAATAATTAATTACCAAAGAAAAATTACTTTTAATTTAATTAAGATCATAAAATATTTTAATTTAAAATTAAAATAATAAATGTAAAAATAAATTTAAAATCATAAAATATTTTAGTTTAAAATTAAAATAATAAATGTAAAAATAAATAAATAAACTTAAAATTGAAAATGAAATATTTCAATTAATTTTTAAATGGAATAATTAAAATTAAAAGTTTAATAAATTTTGTTTCAATTTATCACTTAAAGTTTATTTTAATTATTAAAACAAAAGCGAATTATTTTAGTTAACATTGTCATTTATTATTATTATTATTAGCAATTTAATTTATATGGAAATTTTCGATGAATTTTTTTTTGTGAATTATTTTACGATTAAGAAGAAAATTGTAAATTTAAATTTGACATATTATTCTAATTTCTTGTTGACATGTTGTAGCATTTTGTTGCTTCCATTTACACTTCATTTATTCTAATTTCCATTTAAAATGGCTGAATGAGAGTTATGAAGCGAATAAATAGCCTATTCCATAAAATGGTACATTCCGATTATAAAAGTGACATAAACCGGAATAATTTTTAGATGACATTACCTCAAATGGAAATTCAAAACTTCATTGATAGCATTGAAGATCAACTTTTTCGATGACATTACTTCAGATAGAAATTCAAACTCTGATGATAGCATTGGTGATAAGCTTAAATTTTTAGATGACATTACCTCAGATGGAAATTCAAAACTCCGATGTTAGCATTGGCGATAAACTTTTTAAATGATATTACCTCTGCTGGAAATTCTTGAATGCGATCTTTACTTGTATAATATACTTACATAAGATTTCCTCAGACAAAAATTTTCAAGTGAAATATTATTAAGTGTAATCTTTAAT